CGGTTGTCCATTGGCCAGAGCAAGGCCCGCGAATGAACATGTTCAAGGCTCTGCAGCGTGAATGCATGCGGGTATGCTGAAGAGCATAAGCATGAGCTTCATCAACAGCCTTTGCCACATTATTCAAAATGCGGTCATGAGGAAGGTTGGTGTACATTGTGGTGAAATCAACCGTGCAAGGAGAGAGGCCACGTAGAGAGGACACATTGTTTTTCAGGTCAATCGCCACCTCATCGGCACTCTGGACAATCCAGCACCGTCGAACACCTTCCTGTTGATAGAGCTCAGTGTCTTTCTCACGAAGAGTAGAGATCACGCCTTGCAAAGCAGTGCTGAGACAGGACGAAGTAGCCGTTGTGCTAGCCAAGGGTTTGTGAGGAGGCCGTTCATGAATGGTGCGGGCTGTTCGAGATTTTGTGTTAGGGAGTACCCGTGGGCTATGGTAAGAGGCCACCCCTACAGAGCGGACAGAACCGGTTCGGGTGTGGACTGTGGAAGCATCACATCCAAGTCTCACAGTCACAGTTGCTGCACTGAATGGCTTGGCGTAGGCAGATGTCACAGGCCATGTGGCTCCCACATGCTAGGATCACAGAGGCGCGCCAGCCGCAATTGTAGATGCATTGCCATTGGACAGGATATGTCAGGGTACCGTATGTGAGTACAACATTCACTGTCATCACACGTATGAAAACAAAATTGCACGAGGTGTGCCTTCATAATCCTCACGACACAATGCATCCAACCCACATGCTAACCGGATCGCAGGTGTATCATCACAGAGCGGCATTGATCAGGCGTCTTCGGTTCCCTCATTATTGAGTCCTCTATTGGCAGAGGACGACGGCGGTGGTGGGAGGGGGTCAGCCCAAAACAAGGGCATCAAGCTGCTGCAGGATTTGGTCTGCAACAGTTCGCCCTGGTGGTGTAAACCCTCCTGTACCGTGCACTGCATGCGGTGCAAATGGGACTCTATTTTCCTCCTCAGGCTGCTGGGTTTGTCGTTCACCAGGCAAGGAAGAGGGAAGTCCGACCGGAGTTGCAGTAGGTGCATCCCCAAATCCGCATGCGGGACATGCTGAAAGAGGATGTGGCGGATGCTGGCAGCGGGAATAGTCCACACAGTAGAGACACTAACTTTCAATGATAGCTTCCTGGTAACATTGACAACACATGGCATGCTGCTGACATGGCAGTAGGAACCCTGGCTGAGGTGCGCAGCTATTTAAACATGGTGTGTGTATGTCTGTGTGTGTCTGTGAGTGTGTGCGTGCTATAACACACTCGCTCTGTTAAACATGGTATGTGTATGTCTGTGTATGTCTGTGTATGTCTGTGTATGTCTGTGTGTGTGAGTGTGCTGTAACACACTCGCTCTGTTAACGCCCAAACACGTAGAGCACTCTGTTCTACCCTTCCGACACTCCGCCCGCCCGCTGCACACAATCCACCGTCCAGGCACGCCCAAACAAGAGAAAGATCAGCGCGGAAGTACCCACCCGCACAACTACGCAGTGTTCCCGAGATGTTCAGAATCCGAGATCAGTCCAACAGCACCGGGCCTGAACAGACTCTGAAGTAGGGACAGATACATGTAGAATGTTCTGCGGTGGGTTGAGGCCCATAAGGCCAACAAAATTGTCGGTTCATCCCCGTAAAAGACCGCCACTCAGTTTTAATATGTTGCATTCGCTTCTTCTGGGACACCAGTGATCGAAGCCCAAAAATTGGCTGCTTATCGGACGGCCAATTTCGCACATCAGCAGAATCCGTTCGGGATGCGTCACGACCTAGCCTTACACCCGACCAGAAGAAATCTAATGGAAGGTAGTAGATTAGCAGCGAGCTACCATGATCCCGAGTGTGAATGAGCACCCTGAGGAAATCTCCTTCGAAGGAAATCCAAGGCTCGTTTAACTGGCACCCAGTGACTGCAAGCCTACCAAGCTACCAGCAAGTTCATCTGAAGTTGAAAAGAAACTCACAGACAAACCCAAAGTGGCACTCATCACCACTTCTGGACATACCCACACCAAGAAGCATACACCAGAGACAGCAGGGAGGATACTCACTTGTCCATTGTAGTCAAACGAATTCGGTTCTCCTCGTTCTGGCCCTGATATGCTTCCAGGTGGTTTGAGAGGTCCATTCTCCAGCGCTTTCTCACGTGAATCAGTGCCTAGTGGACCCACGTCTCTGGTTGCTAACATGGCCGTGTTCTGGACAGGTTGGGTAGAAGTCAAGCCTCTCTTGTTACCACTGGTACCACCACTTTGTGAGTCTGCACTTCTTGAATCCTTGTTCACAGGTGCTTCAGCGTTCTCAACAGACTTTACACCAGGATTTCGCTCCCCAAACTTGACCCCTTCAGCATGCGGGCGGGACTCTGACTGCCGTCTTCGCCTTTCAGGCCCATGCACTGGGCCTATTCTTGGGGAAACCTTCCCTCCATCGCCTGTGAGAGGCTGGGAAGTTGCAACTACAGGGCGCCGTGGCAGTTCTCCATTATTGTTTGAGCCTTGTGCAGGAACTCCGTGGCCTTGGACAGGCTTGCCCAGAATGCTTCCTCTTTGCACAGGCCCTCCAGGCCTCAAAGCAGCACCAGCTGCTGCAACAGCAGCAGCTACAGCCCCTGATGAAACCGATGAACCTGGAGTACTGCCTCCATCCTTTCCTATGCCAGATACCAGGGTGTCACAGTGACTATTCATCGATGATACCACAGAGCTAGCCACAAACTCTCCACCTGTAGAACTGCCAGCAGATATGGGCCGAGGCACAGAAGGCACAGGCAAAGGTGAACTGGTAGCTGCAGCAACTCCATGAACTGGTCTCCATTCCTGATGAGCTCCTGGATCCTTTAGACCCACCACAGGCACTGATGCAGAGGGCATTGCACTGGAATGCATCTGCAGCGGCTGTTGCTCTTGCAGAGGTTGTTGCTGTACCTGCTGTGGCTGCTGCTGATGTACCTGCTTTGGCATCTGGTTTGGTGCCTGGAGTGGTGTCTGCTGTTTTGTCTGATGTTGCATCTCCATCTGCACTGACTGCTGCGGTGTAGGTTCCTGAGTCTGCTGCTGCATGAACGGCTGTTTCTGGTGCCTCTGCTGCTGCAAATTTTGTTGTGGCTGCTGTTGTTGCAGCTGGGAAGGCAGAGGCTGCTGCTGAGGCTGCTGTTGTGGCTGCTGCTGGGGCTGCTGTTGTGGCTGTTGCTGGGGCTGCTGTTGTGGCTGCTGCTGGGGCTGCTGTTGTGGCTGCTGCTGGGGCTGCTGCTGGGGCTGCTGTTGTGGCTGCTGTTGGGGCTGGTGCTGGGCCTGCTGTTGTGGCTGCTGCTGGAGCTTCGGCTGGTGCTGCACCTCGGGCTGGTGCTGGGACTGCTGCTGTAATCGCTGCTGGGACTGCTGCTGCTGACGCGGCTGGGACTGCTGCTGCAGTCGCTGGTGAGACAGCTGGTACACTTGAGGCTGTACTTGCAGTGTCTGTTGCTGCACAAGCTGTTGTGGTTGCTGCTGCATCTGCATCTGCTGCTGGTGCTGGTGATGCATCTGTTGCTGCTGTGTCTGTTGCTGCTGATGTGTCTGCTGCTGCTGCGGTGTCTGCGGTCGCAGCTGTGTCTGCGGTAGCAGCTGTGTCTGTGGTCGCAGCTGTGTCTGTGGTTGCAGCTGTGTCTGTGGTTGCGGCTGTGTCTGCGGTTGCAGCTGTGTCTGCGGTTGCAGCTGTGTCTGTGGTCGCAGCTGTGTCTGCTGTTGCAGTTGTGTCTGTGGTCGCTGCTGCTGATGTGTCTGCTGTTGGGTATTTGTCTGCTGCTGCGGAAGTGTCTGCTGCTGTGGATGTGTCAGCTCCTGCGGATGTGTCTGCTGCTGCGGATGTCCCTGCTGCTGCGGATGTGCCTGCTGCTGCGGATGTGTCTGCTGCTGCTGCGGATGTGCCTGCTGCTGCGGATGTGTCTGCTGCTGCGGATGTGACTGATGCTGCGGATGCGTCTGCTGCTGCGGATGCGTCTGCTGCTGCGGATGCGTCTGCTGCTGCGGATGTGTCTGCTGCTGCGGATGTGTCTGCTGCTTCGGATGTGTCTGCTGCTGCTGATGATGAGGATGAGGATGTGTCTGCTGCGGCTGCTCCTGCTGCGTCGTCTGTTGCTGTAGTGGCTGCGGCATCTGCTGGGGCAGCGGCTGCGGTGTCTGCTTCTGTAACAACTGCTGAAGCTGCGGTTGCGTCTGCTGCTGCATCTGCTGCTGCGTCTGCTGATGTGTCTGCTGATGTGTCTGTTGTTGTACCTGTGGCTGTGTCTGCACCTGCAGTTGTGTAAACTGCTGCATCGGCCGCTGTGTCTGCTGCTGCATCTGCACCTGTGGCTGTGTCTGCACCTGCGGCTGTGTGAACTGCTGCATCGGTAGCTGTGTCTGCTGCTGCATCTGCACCTGTGGCTGTGTCTGCACCTGCGGCTGTGTGAACTGCTGTGTTGGCCGCTGTGTCTGCTGCTGCATCTGCATCTGTACCTGCTGAAGTGCCTTCTGCTGTGCCTGCTGAAGCTCTGCCTGCTGCATATCCTGCGGTTTCTGTTCGTTCTGTTGTTGCTGCGGTTGAGGTGGCATGCCGATGTGATGTTTTAATAATGGATGGTGATGTGCTTGTGCCTGCTGTGCAAACTGCTGCAGCCGCCCTGCCTGCAGCTGTTGGTTCTGCAGCAGTGACTGGGGCTGCTGCTGTTTCGGCAGAGGTGTTGATTCCAGCTGATCGTTCTGTGGGACTTGCTTGAGTTGCTTTATTGGTGCCTGCTGCTGCTGCTGGGGAGTCTTTGGCAACAGCAATGATGGTGGCTGTGACTGTATTTGATGAGGTTGCTGCTGATGATGCAGAGGTCTTGGAAACAGCTGCTGCTGCTGTGGATAAGGCTGTGGATACTGGTGTTTGACGAACGGATGTTGCAGCTGTGGTTGGTTCTGTTGTCTGATATGGTGGCCAACATGTGCCTGTCGCTGCTGCTGCAGTGATGATAGTGGCAAGGCAGGCTGCAGCGGTAATGATGGTTGCACCACGGGAGCTGGTGGCACAAGATGTGGAGCATCCTGCTGAACTGATTGCCGTGATTGCTGCTGTTTTGACACAGCCTCTTCTTGTTGCTGGTGTATGATATGAGCATGGGTAGGCTTGCCCTGAGGAGCTGAACCAGCAATAAGCGATGGTGGTTGGCGCGCTGGATGCACTATGGAAGGTTCTAGATCATGCCTGCCTGGCTTCTCAGGTTTTTCATCATCGAAAGCAGGCCTGGAGAAATCCATTCTCTCATCAGGGCTTGCTGAGCCCCAATCTCTTTGGCTTGCTGCCCGGCTGCTTGGTCCCTGAGTATGCACTTGCGAATCTGGCTGCCCCTGCCCTGGCACAGCATCCTCTTGTCCGCCCCTCCTCTCTTCCGAATCCTCAGCTTGCCGCTGTGGCTCAGAGCTCAGGTCAGGAGGAGGTCGCCTTGTGCCCTGCATGGGCTCAGTCCCTGATTCACCTTCAAGTGGAGTGGGTTCTCTTCCATGGCCAACTACGCCCCGTGCCAAATTCTGTCCTCCAGAACCACCTATGAGTCCTCCTGGACCATGCCTTCCCAGTCCTGCCATCATAGCTGGACCATTGCCTGGACTGGGGCTGGATCCATACTCCATTGCTACCCCCCTCCTATGCACAGGAAAAGGGGAACTGCCCATTCCCAGCATAGGCGTCTCTCTGTCCTCGTTACTAGGATACCCAAACCCGTGCGGTGAGCCTCCTGCCTGCTCATAATAGCTATCATAATGGTGCCCAAGCGATGGTGGAGGTGGCCCTGCAGGCCCATGGTACAGGCCTGGATGCCCATGAGGACCCATACGGCCACCGCTATGCAGTCCCGGCCTTTGGAAATGATTCCCGACTGCACCAGGCCCACCGAAGACCTCTCCACCCCTTGGGAAGCCATGTGGCCCTGCGGCAGCAATTGGTGCAGGGTATGGTGCTGCAGGCCCTGGCTCTTGGTGGTTGCCAAATTGATGATGCGGTGGCGGCTGAATTCCGCCCGGTTCGGGACCTGCCACAGGATACCGTGCAAATGACCCAGGGGTGTAGACGCCTGGTGTTCCTCCATCCCTTCGCCAAGCATCCTCTTGGGGTCCACTATGACCTCCTGGACCAGGTTCCCGCTGCCATGGCTCAGGATGTCCATCTCTGCGCCAGGAATCCAATTGAGGCCCGTGAGGAGGACCTGTGTATGGACCAGACTCTCGTGGCCAACCTTCTACTACTGAATGGCCTCCAGCAAATACATGCCCTTGCGAAGCAGAGGTATCCACTCCTGTATGAAAAATGTCATTCAGACCCGCATTCATGCAAGGACACAGAAAGGAAAGAAAACAAGGTCAGAAACAGATCTTTTGCACTCCCCTGCCGTATTTCAACGATATACGGCACTCAGTTCAGCGGTCAACAACATCTATGAAAACTGGCTTCACATAGCCCACAATAAATCAAACCACGTACCACTGCACAGTCCACTTTTGAAAACAGCACAATTGGACAGTAAAAGAATGGGACTCCAAATAATCAACCCACACATCAAATAAATGTTTCCGACAATATGGCTATATTTTCATGCCGACTGGGTTCAGCAAGGGGAAGATTGACAGAACATGCACACACATCCACCCACCAACGGCCCAACACTGAATCCAACTGGGACAATGAGCATTCCCGGCAGCAACTCAATGTCGAACTCACATAAATAACCCTTCAACAAATGCTGCATGTCAGAAAGATGGGTACATTCATTCCGGGAACAAGATGTCAGCGGAAGGATAACGAAGATATCAAAAGGATGGAAACATTCTGACATCTGCAGTGTCGGCCCCACGGACAGGGATGGCCCACCGACACGGCCATGCAAACGGTCCTCGAGGCAGTGATGAACATTGTTTTTTGGAATTGCCACTTCACGACACGGCCATGCAACGGTCCTCGAGGCAGTGATGAACATTGTTTTTTGGAATTGCCACTGCACCCAACCCGCCCAGAGTTTTCATGGTACCGCCCGCCCAACGTTTTCATGGGACCGCCCGCCCTCATTAATAAAAAAGAAGAAAACTTTAAGGTGATCCAGCCCACCCAAGTTTCTTTTCATAATTTCGCCCCCGTGCCCAACCCACCGGTCATCGGTATAAGAACTTCACCCGGACCAGCAAGAAAATTATTGCTCACCTGCACCCGGGACCTTTTTTTTCACGCACACCCACCCATGCCCAGCCTAACATTTACAGATAATATGACATTGCACAGTGACGTCACGAAATAAAAAAAAATCTACACGGTGAGGACACGAAGAAACAAGCCCAGGTGACAACGCGAAAAGACAAGCTCAAGTCCCCAGATTCCAATCGAGAAACGAACCTTGCCGCCTCATGTAGGTAGGTCCGCTCCACGTTCTTTTAGCCGTAGCCAAATCTCCCAGCAGTCATCCCGGCAGTGGCACACCGCAACATTTTTGAACGTGGGTCCCAATATGCCACTGGCGGCTTGACCACAACATTTTTTTTGGCCTCCAACGTTTTTGTTTGCTTTTATCCTACGCTCACAGGTTGTGGCAGGTCCTTGCAGATGATCCTGGGCTAGCAGATCGGGTGACCCCGGCAAGACATTCACCCACCTGCCACCCACCCATTCTGGTGACCCAAGCCTAACATGGACCCGCTCGTCACCCATTCAGACCAGTTAACTTAGACCTAAACTCCTCCCACCCAGACCAGCTAATCAATACCCATACTGGAACCAGCGCCTTGCGGGTGGAGGTGGGTGCAGGTCTGGGTACCCGTTTCTCATCTCTGGCCCCCGCCATTCGGACATGCCGTAGGAACAGACGTCCCAGACCTTTTAGGAGCCTTCAAGAGGGCCACTCGGGAAAATGAGCGCGGGGGACACGAGTGGGGTTGCTGGTGTCAGGGGACTCCCCCCGCCATCTGGAAAGAAAAAAAAAAGAAGAGACAGGTGAAGCCCGTGCAGTAAGACACACTCACCAAAAAAAAAGGATAAAATATATTTGATTGTTTGTTTGTTTAATTGATTGATTGAAGAAGAAACAAAGAAACCGGACTCTCTCTCTCTCTCTCTCTCTCTCTCTCTCTTTCTGCTAGCACGCGCGTGTTTGCAGAGAGAGAGAGAGAGAGAGAGAGTGATGCAGACAGAGTGAGCGTGCACACGCGCATACAAGGCCGCAGCATGTTTTTTCAATTGTCTCTACGTTTCTTTAATTCTCAGTCAATTTATCAATCATCAATCAATCAATCAATCAATCAATCAATCAGTCTTTTCTATTTCTTTATTTTCTATTCCTTCATTTTCTCTTTTTCCTCGTTTTGATATTTTATATCTTTTTAAAAACTTAAGTACACAGGAAAACAAAGGGGGTTGAAGAGCTTTTTGTGCTCTACAACCCCATTCCAGAATTTTTCCCCTTTTTTTGGGTCCATTTTTTGGCCGTGAAGGCGGGCATAGTACAGCACCCTCTGAATGGCCCATACAACTGTATTAACGGCTGGTTGGACAGGTCGTGCGTAGACCACCCGTAAAACGTACGGAGGTGTACGCAGGTGACCTGGTACCAAGATGCAGTACCGGGCATGCAGTCCAGGGATGGTGATCTGATGGTGCCCGATCTGAAATGGTTTGCAAAGTCTGGACTGCACAGATAAAGATGGCAAGAGACACTAGTCACCTGCATGCTGTTGTGGACGCAGATCTAATTCCTTATCCTCTCCAAGGGATGGAAAATCTCCGCGGGACAGTTGAAAGCGAGCTGGCTGATGATGATGCTCCTCTCCCTGTGCTTGTTGTGCCTGGGGATACCAATTCCATGTATCAACACAAACACATCAGCTGCTCATCCAGCTCAGAGGAAAACAGCAAATAGGCCATAATAAAAAACAGAGAATCCAATATCATCGCCTGTATAACCAACAAAGTGCACAGCAACCCCTCTGTAGGTGATCTGATTCACCATTTGAATGAACTTGTCACCTGGTAACTTGCTGCAACCGTAACTCTACATGTGCAGTACATCAAACCATTCAAAACTCGCCAGGGATACTGAGAATCTCTCATTCCTAATCCCAGATGGTCAAAGAGTAACTGTTCTGTGAAACGCAAATCACAGATCCACAGCTCAGATGAGGATGCAGTAGATGACCCTGACATATTTCAGCACTCCTGCGGCAAAGAGTGTACCTTTCTAATGCTTACGCTACACTGCCTCCTACTCCCTGTGTTGCCACACCTCTCTCGCTCTCTCTTATCGGTCTGGTGCCTCGAGAACGTGCCATCCCATGCCAGCCTCCTTCTCTCTCTCTTGTATGTTGGTCTGGTGCCTCAACAACGTGCCATCCCATGCCGGCCTCCCTCTCTCTCTCTTGTATGTCTGGTGCCTCGAGAACATGCCATTCCATGCCAGCCTCTCTCTCTCTCTCTCTCTCTCTCTCTCTCTCTCTCTCTCTCTCTCTCTCTCTCTCTCT